TGTAATGTGAACTATATTACAAATGTAAACCAAGAGCTATGGGACTCTAATAATGGAGGGAATACCATAATGGCAGACTTCATGAAGGAGGTGGCATTTGAACTCAGTCTTCAAGGATGGCAATATAGGATCTCAGGTAGTGATGAGGAGGAAATAGTCTGAGCCATCAAAAAGGAAGGGAAGGATAGGGTACTTGTAGAATAATGAGTGGTACCAGGTGATACAGGATGAGTGAGTGACAGCAAGAAGGCAGTGTGTGCTCTTGAGCAAAGGAGGGGTCTGAAGAAACCATGTTTCAGAAAAAGTAACGTAGTAGTAATAATAAGTAATGGAGGGGAAGAAATGGAGTTTGCTAGCACAGTTAAGAAGCTACTGCCATAATCCAGGCACAAGGAAATGAATGCCTAGATCAGTGACAGAGAAAATGGAAAGTTTAGGCTCTAAAATGTTCTGGTTTACACGAAAGTCTCTAGTTTGGATAAGTCTGCCCTGGAGAAAGTGCACACTCCCTTCTGAAACTGCTAAACTGAAAGCTCAAACCTGAAACACAGTGCCTCTATGGAGATTATATGAGAACTTTTTCAAGAAAGCAGTTGTGCTCCATGGCTCTTCCAAGAACATGTAGGTTAAGAAGTTAGAAAAGAATATCAGAACATTGATGGGTGACAGGAGGGAAGACTGCTGCCTGGCTGGCTGGCTGCCTGCCAGGAGGACCTAACCACCTGACATTTTCCTCCATAGAGAAGCTTTGCTTCAAGCCTGGTTCTTTAGATTTGCAGGATCAGAAAGTTAATTTTGCCAGCACAGCACTCTTTTAAAGACACACACCATCCTAAGCTCAAGACTAAAGGATAAACCAGAATGTTTTAGAGGGCAAACCATAACCATAATCACCAAAAAGAGCAGAGACTTGACAAACACATCCCTGCCACTGGGACACATCACTGAGTCTGCATGCCTTCTCTGAGCTGCACTTGGTTGGGCACTGCCAGCACAAGCCCCTGTTGTTCCCCTTCCCTGTGCTGCATTTCTGGCCAACCCTATCCCCTTCCAACAGACACATTCATTCTTTAGATATGCCAATATAGGCCTGGCAGGATGGCTCATACCTGTAATCCTAGCATTTTGGGAAGTCGAGGCAAATGGATTACTTGAGCTCAGGAGCTTGAGACCACCATGAGCAACATGGTAAAACCCCATCTCAGGGCCAGGCGCGGTGGCTCACGCCTGTAATCCCAGCACTTTGGGAGGCCGAGGTGGGTGGATCACGAGGTCAAGAGATCGAGACCATCCTGGTCAACAAGGTGAAACCTCGTCTCTACTAAAAATTCAAAAATTAGCTGGGCATGATGCTGCGTGCCTGTAGTCCCAGCTACTCGGGAGGCTGAGGCAGGAGAATTGCTTGAACCCAGGAGGCGGAGGTTGCGGTGAGCCGAGATCGTGCCATTGCCCTCCAGTCTGGGCAACAACAGCGAAACTCCGTCTCAAAAAAAAAAAAAAACCCATCTCAAAAAATACAAAAATTAGCCAGATGTGGTGGCTTACACCTGTACTCTCAGCTACTTAGGAGGCTGAGGCAGGAGAATCACTTGAGCCCAGGAGGTGGAGGTTGCAGAGAACTGAAATCGCACCACTACACTCCAACATGGGCAAAAGAGTGAGACCCTGTGTCAAAAAAAAAAAAAAAAAAAAAAAAAAAGATATGCCAATACCATCAATAAGGCTACAGCCAAATCTTGCTCTGGGCAATAAGCCATTCTCCCTTCTTAGGGTAACTTTTTCACTGGCCTCACCATTCTGTGTGGATTTTATGGCTTAACTCTCTAAGGAAATCTTTATTTTCCTTACTTCCAGATTATTGATGGGAGGTGGCTTTGCATTGTTCCCTCACATTGTCTGTGGTAAGAGTGTCTTATCATCTACCCTTTCCCTGGGGAGAAGAAAAGAAACACTTATTTCCTTTTCCCAAAATTCTGCATTTCGATGCTAAGCAACTTTATCTTCTCCACCTTCTTAGCTCCTTTGCTCAATTCTATTTCTTTTTTTTTTTTTTTCTCTTTCTTTCTTTTTGCAACTGAGACAGTGCCTCACTATGTTAACCAGGTGGGTCTTGAACTTTTGGGCTCAAGCTATCCTCCTGCCTCAGACTCCGAAGTAGATGGGACTATATAGCATGAGCCACCATGCCTGGCCTAGATTGCATTGCTTTAGTAGCCACTACTTTATGTTTTAAGAACTGTTTTGCCTCACTGAAGAGAAGCTGCTCAGTCATTTTCACATTTGTTACTCAAATCAAAGTGTGAGCTTCAGGCTTAGAAAAATTAAATTACTTCTCATTTTGCCTGTGACAAAATAAAATTCACATTATTTTTTAAAAAGACATTTCTCTTTACTTACAAGAAAATTTTTTTGGCAATGACTTTATATATATCACAGTAGTACCCTAAAACATAATGAGGCAGATGAGAGTTTGGGGAAAAATGATCAAGATTCATGTTGCTTTATAAACTTCATAAGGGCACAGCGTGTCAGATATATCTGATGGAATGAATGAAATAACTAACTAGTTAACTAATGAATCCTCATAACTATTCATGGAAGATGGCAGAGTTTTCAGCATTCTAGCCATAGAGAAATGGCATTTGGTGCCCCTTTAGAGCCACAGGATAAATTGTTAAATATGACATGAAGTCATTTCTCACCACAGTTCCCCTGTGTTGGAACAAGTATGTTGGACTGAAGCCCCTTTGTTCCCTGTGAAGAGTCTACCACCTCTGCAAACTTGTCCTCAGGAATGTCGTTCTAGAAATAATCCAGCCTTCTCCCTGGGGTCCATGAGTCATACACAGAAGCTAATTCATTGGAGCAACTGGCTTTTCTTAGGCCCTTTGTAAAAGTATTTCAGAGATCCCTCCTGATGAAGCAAAGAAAGTAGGGTTCCTCCTCAGTTTTTTTCTAGCTATTCCCTTATTTCCTCTGTGCTTCTTCCACCACCTCATGTTTGGCTTTCACTGATGACCTTTACCTGCAGACCCAGACCCCAATTCCTTAGTTAGTGTTGCCTGAAGCTGGAAGTACACCAGCAAAGCCTCATTACCCCACCTACCCAGCTCCATTCATTCAGATTTGGAATTAAATCACACTCTACCAGACCTCTCCATCCTCTTTGCTGCTAAACACACTTGTGACATACAGTATGCCAATGACTGATGCTCCAGGCTTGGTTCTCTACTGTAAGGGAATACCCAAAAATTTATCTTTTTTTCTTTTAGCTTTTTTAAATTCATTTTTTATAACAAGTAGTAATAGAACACATTTTCACTGTAAAATAACAACATGAGGCCAGGCGTGGTGGCTCACGCCTGTAATCCCAGCCCTTCGGGAGACCGAGGTGTGTGGATCACGAGGTCAGGAGTTTGAGACCAGCCTGACCAACATGCTGAAACCCCATCTCTACTAAAAATACAAAAATTAGCTGGACACAGCGGCAGGTGCCTGTAATCCCAGCTACTCGGGAGGCTGAGGTAGCAGAATCGCTTCAACCCAGGAGGTGGAGATTGCAGTGAGCCAAGATTGCACCACTGCACACTAATCTGGGTGACAGAGCAAGACTCCATCTCAAAAAACTTTTTTTTTAAAATAACAACATGAAGCTGAAGTCCCCTTTGTTAAACTAAGTAATTTGCATTGCTGTATAATTTTTGGTTGTTTTTATATTCTAGAATGCTTCGGGTTTTTTGTTAGTTTTTAAAGTGGTTAATTTCTTTCTCCCATGTTTATTTATTTATTTATTTTATTTGTTTATGAGATGGAGTCGCCCAGGCTGGAGTGCAAGTGGCCCGATCTTGGCTCACTGTAACCTCTGCCTCCCAGGTTCAAGCGATTCTCTTGCCTCAGCCTCCCACATAGCTGGGATTACAGGCGCCTGCCACCACGCCTGGCTAATTTTTGTATTTTTAGTAAAGATGGGATTTCACCATATTGGCCAGGCTGGTCTCAAACTCCTGAGCTCAAGTGATCCACCCGCCTTGTCCTCCCAAAGTGATGGGATTACAGGTATGAGCCACCATGCCCGACCTAGAATTTTTTTTTTGACACAAGAAATACAGGACTCCAATAAAATTCAAACAGTATAGAAGTATGAATAGCAAAAAGGGAAAATATCTCAGAACCCTGCGCTATTTCCACTTCCTGTCCATTGTTAACAGTTTGATGATAGCTTTCCAGAGCTTTGTAAAATGCATTTACATACATACATATATATGTACTTAGGCAGATAGTTTTATTTTTATATAAATGGGATCATGTTATATCTGTTCTACAACTTCCTTTATTTACTTACTATCTTCTAGTTTTTCATGTGAGTATGTTCAGCTTTACTTTATTAACAAATACATTAATACTTTATAGTTTGAATGTGCCATAATTTATCTAAACATTTCCCTATTGAGGGGATTTGAATTGCTTCCTGTTTGGGGTTTTGATTGTTATTACAGCAATGCTGTATCAAACATCTTTGCATATGTCTTTTTGTGTACTACTCAAGAATGTGTCTAGGCTAGATGTCTAGAGGTACAGTCAATGGATCAAAAAATGGCTGTGGAAGCCAGGCCAGTGACGAGTGCCTGTAATCCCAGCTAATCCCAGCTACTCGGGAGGCTAAGACAAAAAGATTGCTTTGAGGCCAAGAGTTAGAGACCAACCTGAGCAACAGAGAGAGACCTCATCTCTTAAAAAAAGTTTTTTATAAAATTAATTAGGCATGATAGTGAGTGCTTATAGTCCTAGCTACTCAGGAGGCTGAGGCAGGAGGATTGCTAGAGCCTAGACATTTGGAGGCTACAGTGAGCAATGTTTGCATGTATGAACCACCACTGTACTCTAGCCTGGGTGACATAATGAGACCCCATCTCAAATAAGAAAAGATGAATGTATTTAAAGTTTTACATTATTCAAAATTTACTATCAAAGTGAACACTTTATTTCCCTTTCTTTTGCAGAGAGTTCTATTCTGGGAACTGACATTGACCTTCAGACTGTAGACAATGATATCGTCAGCATGGAGATATTTTTCAAAGCCTGGCTACATAACAGTGGAACAGACCAAGAACAAATTCATCTTCTTCTTTCTTCACAGTGTTTCAGCAACATTTCCAGAGCCAGAGATAATCCAAGTACATAACCCCCAAAAGATACATAGACTATGATTATTCTTATCTGGGATCAGGGCTCTAGATTAGTGAGTCTGTGGAATACGGCATGGCTGAGGTTTAGGGACTGGAAGAGGTTTGGATGAGGCTGTCCAGTATAAGCATGAGGGATAAGAAGAGAAGGTCTAGGAAGCAATCATGGTTAGAAAGCTGAACCGAATTAAGACCAACCAGCAAGGGCCAGTTAGTTTAGGGGCAAAGTCTCAGACACCTCAAGGATGGAGAATTGGCTAAACTACATAAGAACACAATGAATCACATTTCTCAATATTCTCATTTTTAATGTGGTAAATATTATTGGCATTATAATTGGGAGCATGCTGCTACCTCAACAATGTCAATAGGGCCTGTGGCAAAAGGAAGAGAACCAAGGTTAAACAAAGATCTCACTAGGGAGGCAACAAATGGGGGAAAACTAAAGAGACGCCCCAGGGAGGACAACCAGTGGCCCAAAACCATGTTCACAAAGCAGTTCGGGCAATTACTGAAACCGAGAGATCAATCCAGTGTTCTGGGCATGCCAAAAAGACCCTGGATACTGTTCTGCCTGGCAATTATACTTCATTCCAGGTCCCACTAGATGGTAAGAATAAGGCCATTTCTATTCTCCCATCTCTTCCGAAGGCTGGCTCAGGCAGGACCTGGGGCGGCCAGGCCTGCAGATGGGACTACCCATCAGTCTAATCAGCCACACTGAGGTTGGGAAAGCTGAGTCCTCAGGGACCAGCACCAAAGAGAAATTATCAAAGTATGTCTTCTTTAGGGGTGGGAGTTTGTACCCATCTTTCTCACTGAACAGAATACTGGTAGTGGTAGTGGCTACAGAGATCATTGAGGATTGAAGACTAGATTGAACGTGATGTTTACCAAAGCCCTTCTCTAGGCTTTGACACAACTCATTGGGGTTACTGCCTCCTTTGAGAGCTCTTTCTTGGCCAATAGCAGTATATCTGAGTTTTTATATGTGTTCCTTTTCTTCAGCTGTTATAAAACTCTTTATGACCATTGTTTCTTCAGGATAGGGAAGGGCTTTTTGGAGGTGTTACTACACAGGATTAAGGCTTTCCAAGACCCTTTCTGTCTCGGGATGGCCATCAAGTCTCTTCTCTCCCCGATTTCAACCTAGTGCCCAGGATGGCTTTGCAAACTTAACTTGATTTTAATCTGGCTTTTCTTTGTGTAAAATACTCCTCCCAGAACCTCTTTTCCGTCCCTTTTGTCCAAGGTTGATAATACCAATTTCTCCTTTTCCTGTCCTCTGGAATTCACTTATCCATTTTCCCTATTTAAGGCAGATGGCAACTTTGTACAGAAGCTAGCATATAGCTAACATTATTGAGCTCTTTCTCTGTGCTAAGCACTAAATTAGCTCTATTTCTTGCATTATCCCATTTTATCTTCACATAACACTATGAGGCAGTACTGTTTCCATATGTCATTGAATCTAAGATGCTATCAATTATGAGATATACCACTGTTTTATGTACCAGTAAAAAGGAAAACAGACTAGATGCAGTGGCTCACTCCTGTAATGTCAGCATTCTGGGAGGCAAAGGTGGAAGGATCCCTTGAAGCCAGGAGTTAGTAACAGCCTGTGCAACATAGACCTGTCTCTACAAAAAATAAAAATAAAAAATGAGCCAGGCACGGTGGTATGCACCTGTAGTCTCAGCTACTCAGGAGACTGAGGCAAGAGGATCGCTTGTGCCCAGGAGTTTAAGGTTGCAGTGACCCCGTGATGGAGCCACTGAACTTCAGCCTGGGCAACCGAGTTAAGACCCTGTCTCTAAAAAAATAAATAAATAAATATTTTTTAAAAATTTTTAAATTATTTATAATAAATATTTTCTTTAAAAAGAAAGAAAACATTGCCCATTGAACATTACACAGCTCTTTCTTGTCACTTAGAAGTATTATTTTACTTATATTGAGAGAGCTTTTTTAGGTTAAAGTAGTAAGTAAGGATTTGGAGTGCCTGCATGGTCAATGGCAATTGTAAGACACATGTAGAGATGAAAAAAAAATGTCTTAGAATCAATTAAATACAGTATTTCCCCCATTTTACATATGAGAAAACTGAGACTTAGAGAAATTAAACACACTTCTCAGGGCTGCACAGAATATTAGTAGCAGAGCTAGGATTTGAAACCAGGCAACAGGGTCCACTCTTAACCCTTAGGATCAGAAATCTGTATTTTGTGCACTTGACACTTTCAGCCTAGACAATGTCCATAAACCGAGGTCTATCTTCCTCCAGAACCTGGGCCTTTATCTACTATACTAACCTGCCTTGTTCTGAGCAATTCTGAAGAAAGGGGCTAGAGATTCACTTCTTTCATTAGGAGGGCTGGGGCCCTCAGAGGCCAGGAACTCCTGTAACCAGCCTTTCTTCCACTATTGCATGGCATTTGCTTATGATGCTAATCAGAATTTATCTGGCTTCCCCTCTCTCTTTCCAAAGCTTTCAGCACGAGGGTCAGAGCCAGAATATTTATCTCCATCTATAACCATTTTTTTGAGAAATCTGTAGGTCTTCAGGATGCACAGCGGAACTTAGATCTAGACTATAGTCAGATTTTCTGCTGGAGAGGTCTTCACTGGAATCCAGATATTGAGGACAGCTGGAATGAGGTCTGGGGACCTTAGGCCTCTTCTAGGGTGGATGTGACCCACCTGAGATTTTAAACAAGCACAATAAAGATTATGCTGTCGTTATTACTTTAAAAATTGATGTATTGCCACACCTGTAGATTTCTGGACTATGGCTCACTACAAAAAAAAATGAAAGAAAACCAAAACCCCAAGCTTTCCTCCTCTAGACTCTTTGGGGCATGCATCTCAGATGTTCACTCTGACTCCTGCTTACAAGGTTCTCTATCTGATGCTACCTGCCTCTTTGACCGCCTAGGGCCCTTCACCCCGTATCTAGGTATGTCCCTTAGAAGGGCCTTCCTCTGACAGACCACACAGTGAGCTACACATGAGTTTCTTTTTTTGTTCTTAGGTTTGGGGTCTGCCACATCCATATCTGGGCTCTGGGTGGGAGAAGCACACCTGGTTCTAGATTTAAGCCCTGCTAAAATAGCTTTCCCAGCTTTGGGACACTCTGCTGAGACCATAGTTTGGGTAGTTCTTAACCAGGGCTGCAATAAGAATCACATGGGGATCTTATTAAAAAAAAAAAATACCAATGTCTGGGCTTTACCCCCAGAGACCCTGATTTAATTGGTCTGAGGTAGGGCCCAGACATCAGTATCTTTTTCAAGTTCCCTAGATCAGGGGTCCCCAACCCTGTTGGGCCCTGTTAGGAACTGGATTAGCAGGAGGTGAACAGCAGGTGAGTGAGCGTTACCACCTGAGCTCTGTCTATCAGATGGGCTGTGTCATTAGATTCTCATAGGAGCCCAAACCCTATTGTGAACTATGCATGCAAGGGATCTAGGTTGTGCATTCCTTATGAGAATCTAGCTAATGATCTAAGCCTGATGATCTAAGGAGGAATGGTTTCATCCCAAAACCATCCCCCAGCACCCCGTGGAAAAATCGTCTTGTATTAAACTGGTCCCTAATGCCAAAATGGTTGAGGACTGTTGCCCTAGATGAATCTTACTGCAACCAGAATGAAAACCTCAGCCAGATGAACACAACTGTTCAGTCCTAAAGCCCCAGGACCAGAAATAGAGAAGTCAAGCACAGAGGAAATGAGAGGAAGCTGGAGTCCTAGGCAAAGTCCCTCCTACTGACTTCCTGGGCTCTGGGACATGTTCTGGCTGAGGGCCATCTCACCCAGAATTAATGTCTAGGTCTTATTCACGTGGCCCAGGAGGGCCAGCTGGATCACATATCTATTCTGCCACTATTTTTTTTTCTATGTTGTTTCTATGTTTTTACCTTATGTTGCAGTTAGTACAGCCACTTCACAAGTCACTAACGTCAACTACCAGCCTTCTCAGAAGTACTCAACATTCGTATATTCACAAGTTTGTTATCAATATTCAAACCAGGTATACGTTTTATTGAAGAACTTTGTAATATCAAGGATTCAAGCTTGTGCAACAGAACATCGTAAACTGTGGCATATGCAGTTACCTACTGGAACAGAAGCTTAATACAGAAGAGTATAATACCTAGATGAGGAACTCCTACCTAGCCTAAGCACTCCTCAGAACTGTTGTTGATGCTGTTGTGATGCTCCAAGGCCCAGAAGGTCCTAAACTCATGTTTCTTTGGGGAATTAAAAAATAAACTGTTTCAGGAACTTATTCCTTTCTCCCCACCCCAAATGTCCCTGAACTAGCCCACAAAGAAACAGTAGCAGTCATATGACTGCCTGACTTCTGCTTTCCTGCTCTTCCTTCATCTGACCTGCACTGTTGCCAAGCCTTAGCCTCAAGGAAGCAGCAAGATTTCCTTCTGTGATTGCCAAAGGGCCTCTGCATATTTTGGTATTAGCTACCTCCTCCACAGAAGTTGCATGTTCCTCAGACTGGATCACAAACCAGATATCTCACTATGAGACAACTGCTCAGCCAGCCCAGAAGTAAAACAAATAAAAATCACATCAGACCCTTGAAAATAAGTTAACTGTTATGTAGAGCTATAGAGATACTATAGGTTCCAGACCTGCTGTCCCGTCCCAAACCAGTCAGGCTTTCCTCTTTCCACTCTCCTGCCTCCTATCCCTTGCTTGCCTGGTAGAGATGGAATGGGTACCAGATGTTGTCTCTTAATGGCATAGCCTAAGGTAACTTATGACCCACACTCCTTCCTCCAATGCTGCTTTTATTGTAGTGTGCCTGAAATGTGATCTCCAAGAGCGACTGCTCAGCCCATCCCTACTTCCTGGCACAGCTGACGGTTCCTTGAGAATGGATGACCCCAAAGGAGACTTCAGCACACTCTACCAGATGGCTTCCCAATCATCGGCCTCTCATTACAAGCTCCAAGTTATCAAGTATGGTCCAAAGGACCCTCCCCAGTCCATGCAAATGCTATTCTTGTGATTCTGTGGCTAGGAAGTCCAGAAATAGATGGTATCTCTAAAGTGTCAGGCCAGCAAGAGTCAGTTCCAAAGTAGCAGTTACAGCTATGACACGAAGAAGCAAAGTCAGGCTACTCAGCATGTGGACGCCAAATGTGCAGATGGGGGGAGAAGTGTTGCAGTAGCACAATCTGAGGTCTGCATGAGGATTGTTTTTCTTTTGACTCATTGAAAAGGTGTTTATCCATTCAGCAAATGTTTACTGAATGACTACTTTGTTTAGGCATCAGGACAGAGATACAATCTTCAAGGAGTAAGTGGTCTTAGACACAGTACTTAGTCTAGTGCTAAGTAAATCCGATGTCTACTCCTGCTTCCTCCCATTTATCTAGTACTTAAGTACTAGAATTAAGTACTAGAGTTTAGTACTATTTCTAGCACTTAAGTACTAGAATTAAGTACTATTTATCTAAGTACTAGAATTTATCTAAGTACTAGATTTATCTAAGTACTAGAATTCATCTCCCATTGATCTAAGTACTAGAATTCCTTCTCCCAGGGGAACCAATTGTAGAATAGAATTATCAGGCCTGGCACAGTGGCTCCTGCCTATAATCCCAGCACTCTGGGAAGCTAAGGCAGGAGGACTGCTTGAGCCCAAGAGTTCAAGGCTGAAGTGAGCTATAATTGGACCACTGCACTCCAGCCTGGGTGACAGAGCAAGCCTTTGTCTAAAAAAAAAAAAAAAAAAGAACAACAACAACAACAATGAATTAGCAATGATGGCAGAGACCACTTCAACTCTTCCCAGTTCCTACCACTATGCACGTGCACAGGTTCCCAAACTTTGACAATCCTCTGTGTGTTAGATACTATGCCTGATACTGGCCATAAAAAGATGTATAGTTCACAGACCCTAATCTAAAAGCTTTCACAATAGCGTCTTAGAGTTAAGCTGAATTGAAATAGATCTAGGTAGAGGTTCTAGATATCACTAAGGAGTCTTCCACTGTAATTATCTCTTCCTAGGGCTTTAAAATCTAGCGGGCTCTGCGAGTCATTGACATATGGACTCCCATTCATCCTCAGACCTACAAGCTGTTGGCAACTGGATTGGGATGAGCTGGAGACAAATCAGCAACATTTCCATGCTTTGTGTCACAGCCTGCTGGTGAGTACCCATGTCCCCAGGTGAAAAAGAATAATTATTTTAAAGTACCAACCACAGAAAAACAGCTAACAACTCTGCCTAATCCTAAACCTGCCTCAACTCTCAAGAAGACAGAAAAAAACTGGAAATACCCTGAAATTTAGAGTAAATATGACTTGCCTTTTGTTGGTTTTATGCTATAGAGAATAATTCCAGAATTGAGTTATACGATACTAAACTTGAAAATCCCCAATTTGTAAGCTTAACGTTTAAATGGCAACAGGGAATTTTCCATAAGTACCTGTATTTTAAAACCTACTTCCTTCCTAACACTGTGATAGACATTATGGTTCATTTAAATGAAGAGCACTTAGTCTTTGCCAGACATTGTGTCAAACCCTAGATATATATTCCGTAGTGACCTAAAAGACATTACCTATGACCTCAAGAAACCCACCCTCTGATGGAAGAAACAGAAATGTATATATTCTTAATTATGGGAAGTTTATAAAGGAAAAGAAGAGGCTGCTATAAGAAAGCCTGTCAATAGAAGTGACTAAGACCTACAAGATAAGTGAGAATTAACCAGGCGAAAGGTGGCAGGAAGAGCATTCCAAGTGCAGCAAAAGGTATGTGCAAAGACCCTAAGGCTGGAAAGAGCTGAGAGAAAAATCAAGAACAGAAAAGCCATTGTGACTGAAACAGGGAGGAAGGGAGAGAGTGACAAAAGGTAGGACTGGAGAAGTGAGCAGGGGTCACATCATACAAAGCTTTGTAGGCCAAATTAAGGACTTTGGACCTATGGAAACAAATCACAAGAAATATCATCAGTTTAAGTTTTTAAAATGAACTTGCAGAAGCAAAAATGGAAACATGAAAATGAGATAGGAGGGCACTGCAGTAAACTAGGCAAGAGACAATGGTGGCTTGGACAAGAACAATGCAAGCCAAGATGAGATGAGCAAACCAATTAGAGAAATATTTTAGAATTGCTGCTTGGCCTTGTGTAGAAATATTCTGGAGACAGAATTGTCAAAACTTGGTTGAGAGATTGGATACAGGGAGTAAGAAAGAGGAAGTATCAAACAACTGCCTGGTTTCTGATCTGAACAACTAGATGGATATCATTCCCCGAAATAGAAAAATTAACAGCAGTCACATGAAACTAACACAACACTTAGAAAGCAAAATTACACAACACTTAGAAAGCAAAATTTAAAAAACTGCAAATAGAATGCAAGGACAGATATGGAATAAATATTTGACCTAGTAGGATGATCAGGACAGCACAGCAATGAGTCTCTTTCACTATCAGAAGCATTTTTTTTTTCCTGTTTCAAAGCCCACACTCCCTTTTAGGTCCACCCACTGAGTTCCTGTTTCCTGTCTGAAGAACACCCATCTCCTGTCTTTGCAGAGCAGAGACGACAGACAGTTGTGACTGTTAGTACCCAACAACTCAGTTTACTATTTGCTCAACCCAGTTCCTCAGAATCTGAGATAATACATCACTTGGGAGGAATTTCTCCCAGGTGGCTTCAATACATTCTTACAGTATTTGATATTTTAAACACACACTGACATTTTAATACACTGCTAGAGAGGGTGGAAATTTTCTGGAAAAAATGATGTCCTTAACTTTTGCTGGAAATGTAGCCCAAGAAAACAGTCAGGAAAGGGAGCAAAGACATATGTACCAGCATGTTCATCTCAGTGTTACTTACAATAGTGAAAAATTGGAAACGACCCAAACGTCCTAAGTAGGGGAAAAGTTATAGGAACTATAACCTGGTGTGGTATGGTGGCTCACACATGTAATCCCAGCACTTTGGGAGGCCAAGGCAGGCAGATCGCTTGAGGCCAGGCGTTCACAGCCAGCCTGGCCAACATGGTAAAATCCCAACGCTACTAAATATACAAAAATTAGCCAGGCGTAGTGCCATGTGCCTGTAATCCTAGCTACTTATGAGGCTGAGACATGAGAATCACTTGAACCCAGGAGGCGGAGCTTACAGTGAACCAAGATTGCACCACTGCACTCCAGCCTGGGCAACACAGCAGGACCCTGTCTCAAAAAATTATAATAATAAAGATAGTAAAAAGTATTTCCTTCCATCCTGGCTTACATAAACAAGATTAGAGTCTTCCTGCCACTAAACTCGGGGTTTGAGGATCTGTATTTATCTATTTATTTATATAAGTATTTACTGACCATTGTGTGCCAAGCACTGTTGTAGGGATGAAGAGACCTCTTCTTCATTAGTTTTCTCTCATGGAAAAGCATAGGGATGTAGTTGACCTGTCACTAATAGATAGCCATATTTTAGAGCATTTACTAAGTGGTAGTCACTTAACCAAGTGTTTTGCATACTTTACCTCATTTAATCCTCACGATGCCCTGTGAAGTAGGGATTGTTATTTCCAACTTTTGCAGATAGAGGAGGCTGAGGCCTAAAAAGACCAAGTGAGTTACCAAAGATCACACAGCTACCAAAGTAGCCTAGTCAGAATTTGAGGACCCGGCTCACACCTGTATTCCCAACATTTTAGGAGGCCAAGGCACAAGGATTACTTGAGCCTAGGAATTCAAGACTAGCCTGGGCGACAGAGCAAGACCCTGTCTCTATTAAAAATTAAGAAATTAGCCAGTAGCAGTGACTCATGCCTGTAGTCCCAGCTACTCGGGAGTCTGAGGTGGAAGGATCGCTTGAGCCCGAGTTTAAGGCTGCAGTGAGCCATGATAGTGCCGCTTCACTCCAGTCTGGGTGACAGAGGGAGCCCCTATCTGAGGGTGGCAGGGGCGGGGGTGGAGAAAGAAAGAAAATAAAACAAGAATTTGAACCTAGTTCTGTTGACTACAAAGCCCATGTTTTTAAATTCTTTGCTAAATTCCCTACTCTGGATATAGCCAGATAAATACAGACTATAACACTGAAGCTGATTCTCTCTTCACTTACACCCCATGCTTCTGTACTTCAGCGGACTTGAACTCACTTAAAATGGCACAGTACTCATAATAGCTGCTTACCCATCTTGAGCGGTTTTCTTTACTGTGTTTGGTCCGCCTCAACTAGACTAAAGACCACTTTCCTATTCTGGAAAAGAGAGAAGCAAAACAGTGTGTAAATACCTCTTCCTTCTCACTTTTCTTTCTTTTTTTTGTTTTTAGTTTTATAAGATGGGGTTTCACCATGATGGCCAGGCTGGTCTTGAACTCCTGACCTCAGGTGATCCACCCACCTCAGCCTCCCAAAGTGCTAGGATTACAAGCGTGAGCCGCCGTGCCTGGCTCTCTTTTTTTTTTTTTTTTTTTGTTATTAAGACAAAGTCTCGCACTGTCACCAGGCACCAGGCTGGAGTGCAGTGGCGCAATCTTGGCTCACTGCAACCTCTGCCTCCCGAGTTCAAGCAATTCTCCTGCCTCAGCCTCCTGAGTAGCTGGGACTACAGACGCACATCACCACGCCCAGCTAATTTTTATATTTTAGTAGAGACAGGGTTTCACCATGTTGGCCAGGATGATCTGGATCTCTTGACCTCATGATCCGCCCGCCTCGGCCTCCCAAAGTGTTGGAATTACAGGCGTGAGACACCACGCCCAGCTCCTTCTTACTTTTCACGTGACATTTTCTCCAAGGCAGCAAAAATCCTGAATGGCATTATGTTACAGAGGAAAAACTTTTCACAAACTTCAGCTCATCCATTCAACAACAAATATTTTTAAGTGTGACAGGACTTATTTAGGTTTTAACCTTCCTAAGCCTATTTTTACAAGTTTGCCATGCCACTTTAACTCCTTCTTTGGTTTTCTATTCTTTCATATACCTTTTTCATATGTTCTTTAAAAATCTGATTTCAGATCAGTTCCGTATTTAACTGTCTTGCCTTCTGTTTCACATTGTGATGTTCCCCTCCAGCCAACTTCTCATTCTAACTTCTGCCTTTCTGTTAATAGCAGCACCGCCATTGTCTAGTCACCCAGGCTTGAAACCTCAGTCACTTTCAGCCATCTCACCCTTCACACCTACTTCATCACTAATCACATCAATTTTTCACTCATAACATGAGTTGTAACTCTCCTTTACTTCTTGTTCCCACTGCTTGTCTCACCAAGACTTCTTCAGTAAACTCCTAACTAGCTTCCCTGCCTCCAAGCTCTCCCTCTTTTGGTTTTCCCTGCACATTGGCACCAGCTTAATCTCTTTGAAGCATTTCCCTATCACATGTTTTTCTACGTATCAGTACTCGATAGGGAATTAAGCCTTGCCTGTTTTATCCCTATTGCACCTGTTATCACTATCCTAGTTCAAGCCCTTTTAACCTTTCCTTTAATACTGCAATAATCTTTCAACTTGTCTCAATGCTTTTAGTACTTCCCCTTCCTAGTCCATTTCACGTACTGCCAACAGATTAATCTTCTGGAAATGCAGCACTGACTCTGCCACTATTCAGCTTAAAAATACTTTGTGGCTTACTATTGTTTATCCATAAAGTCCATATTCCTTAGCCTAATATTCAAGGTCCCATCTTATCTCCCATTATTCCCCTTCGTGTACCATACACTCCAACCAAATTAATATACATACCTTAAATTTTTTCACCTTTGAGACTTTGCTCATGTTGACCTTTCTCTCATCTCGGTGTGTTCAAATACTACCCTATCCTGAAAGACCAAGCTCAAGTGGTACTTCTTGAATGAGACCTCTCCAATTCCTTCACCTGTCATTAGACCTTTGTATGCTGTTTCTTTCTGGAGAAAAGCATATTTCAAGTAGGTTTTTAAATATATGATCCTATGTTTTAGGTTAAAGTCTAAGAAATAATTTGACTACTCAATCTCCAGATTAACATAGTGCCTTTTCTACCACTTCCCCACTTTACTAACCAATTCCTAGGCTTTGATCAAATTTAGGTACAGAGTAGAAATTCCCCCTTTTTTACTTCTCTTTTTGGAGGAGTCAATGCAAAGCAGTTTTCTAATATATTGCGGTAAAATATAATTTGTATTGTCCAGGAAAATC